CCAAAGTTTAGTAATCTTTCTTGGAAGAGTATTTACAAAGTATAGTAACAAGTTGACTAAAGATCGCCACGTGAAATGTGGTAAGAGCAACATCAACGCTGGAGATTACAGATCATTAAAGAACAGTTGTATGATCAATCAATCAATCAATCAATAGACCAACCAACCAATCAATCAACCAGTCTGTCTGCTCTGTTATTGAGCCTAGGCAGCCAAGGCAGGAGTAACCAGAATTTTACTTTCTTCTAATATGGTAGAAATGTACAGGGATTTGTTGTCAGGCATAGATATCCGCGGCCACAAACCCCCCCCCTTTCTCTGCATGCTAGCAACGCCCCTGCCCTGTGGCATTCCTGAACATGTTTCACCTATAAACAGGGGTAAAGTACACCATGCCATCAGTGGTGAAGGTCAGGAGCCTTGTCTGCGGGGACGGGACACGTCTGTTACTGTGGAATATCTTTGTAGTTGTTTGTTTTTGAGCTTTAGAGGGTTTAGATGGTGTATTTTTGAACTTTGGACAGAGAGGGATGATGTTTTAACTGCTTCCTGTGCTCATGCTAAGCTAGGTTAACCACTTTTTGGCTCCAGCTCTTTACGGCAATCATGTCATATGGAATGGTAGATAACAACTACCTGCCAATACCTCTGCCAATAAGTTGTGATGTAATAATATTTGTACTTTGTAAATCTTTTACTATTTCAGGATCAGGACTCAGTAATCAGGAGACATTTATTGCCTTAATATATCAGACATACAAGGAATTTGACTTGGCGGTTGGTGCGTAACAGCAGACAGTACGACAATGGACGACAAGACAAAAGTGCACGAGGAATAAAATGAAATATAAAATATAATGCTATGGGTTAGTTTAAAATAAAAGAATAAAAGTTCAAGTTAAAAATATTTAAAAATTAAAAAATAAAGTGCACCAGCGAACAGAAAGTGATAAAAGTGACGAGTGAAAAGTGACAAGTGAAAGTGACGTGTGCAGTATAAAAGAAAGTGACCGGTGGAATGTCTATGTATATTTGAGCTTTATTAACTATATCACAATATGAGACCAACAAGCAAAATAATGTCCTGATATGGTATTGAGCTCAGTAGTGTGTTGTTGAAGCTCCTTCAGTGATCTGTGAGGCGGAGAGAAAGACATCAGGATGAAGAGCGTTATCACCAGGCTTTGGGGTTAATTAGTAATTAACCCTTTTGACCCTGACAGACAAAGACAATGAGTCGGCGCTTACAACCTTGTGTCAAGTAGAGGAGTATAACTCCACCCGCCGTGTTACCTTCCAGGAGGGGAGACAGTTTCCAACATGTTAGGCTCAAAATGCCTGGACAAAATGTATAACAATACATGTATAATTTGAGTGCTCATGGGGTCATGGGTTAGAATATTTTGTTTGGTTTAGTCAACATAGAAAAAATATCATCTAGCAGTGTGGATAAAACAAGAAAAAACTTGAGGGAAGATCCAGAGCTGGAACCCAGCAGAATTGAATAATCCACAGCACATGAAGGCATTGGGAATGATGTATTTCATGTTATTTGTGTGCTCTAGGCCATACTTAGAGCCGATGAATGAGTTAGATACTTCTGCCTGATGAATGGGAATACATTGACAAGTGACAATCTGAGGCTTTACATGATTTGGAATATATTCCATAAAAGTGAAAGTCGATTGGACCTTGCTAATGTATTTACTTCCTTTGTTAAATAAACAGAGATTATGTAAGCAATACTGCATAACTACCTACTTTCTAAAGCCCACTATAGTGTACTTCTTATGTTTTGGATTTGTGTTTTCCTTGCAGCAGTTGGTCTCTGATCTAATTGAGTGCAGAAATAATCACATGAAGACTTCTTTAATCTTTAGTAGTAGTTTAGTGGTGTTTCATTTCTAGACATACAGACACATGCTTCTAATTTCGTGGAATTAATGTGTCTATTTATAATTTTGGGAAGTCATTAAGCTGCCAGATGTACTTACATTCCGAAGCCTTTAGAACTCTGCGTGGGATTGCATCGTTATCACAGTTTCAGTCATACTTGATGATGTAACTTAGGGTTTGTTAAAAACTGAGACAGTCCTGGTAGGAAATGATGCAGCTCCTCGCTGTGCCTTCACAGGTACGATGTGACGGCCGGTGCTGTCGGACACGTTAACAAAATGTTCTTTTTTGACACAACTGATGGGCATCGCCTCACTCAGACATAATACAAAGCATCATATTCAAGAAATGAATGGCAATATGTTGCAACAAGACCTGAAGCTGTTATAATCAAGAAAATTACACCAGATTCCAAGTGATTATGAAGATGTATGGTGATTGTAAACAGGCTGAAATCATATTCACATAACTTGCTACATATCTTGTAGCCTGAATCCTCTAAGATAATGTGCAGCAGCTGCAGATTTGTGCCACTGAAGTGAGACGGTGAGGTGGTTGGAGAGTTCTCGTCAGGCAGCATGTATATGTCAGTGGTGCACACACCTGTAGTGAATCCGAATAGAGATGTTCATAAGAGTGTTTTGGGTGTGGGAACTAGTGATCTGTGCAGGCCTGGAACAGGAGGACTCCCTCTCACCTTGAGTCCAGCCTCTCACAGTACACATGTTTGTTGTGCACACAGGCTGACAAAAGGGAGCAGTTTTTCTGGGCGTGGTTGCTTTTCATGGCTGTATCATTAAAGAAATGGCAGGCTTTATCTCCCAGTGTGATGATTATCTTCACATCACCTGCACCATATGAACAAGGACATTATCATTGTAGTAGTGCAAATGACAACCAATGACACAGGAAGAATACAGGAGCAGAAGGTTGGAGATCGTCTTGTCATGTTTGAAGCAGAATGTTAGATTCACACAACACTGTGACGACAAGAACGTTAAAACACTTACATGAAATTACTCAAGATTTGTGTAGCTCTAAACATACACACATTGCAATGCATATCAGCTGGATATCAATGATTTCAATTGGAGATATGAATTACAAATTACGAATGTGGGATACATTGGGCAGCTTGTGCAAGTCGTTCGGCACAGGAACCATCCTGCGAGGCTCGGTGTTGAAGGGTTTAAGTGTGAGTCCTTGAGTCAGGACTCCTGGCCGGACGTTTCCAAAGTTCAGCCCGGTGGGGGAGTTGCTCTTGGACTATGTCTCCAACGAAATGTGCTGATTTTACAATCATTCACTCCTCAGACCCAAGAGCCCCTCTGACCTTCGTCACCTTGCTTAGAAACATGCTAATACTGTTGGTTCTTTAAACGTCATGTTGCGCTTTAGAAAGAGAAGCTTCAATGTTGCGTGTTATTGAACAAGTGAAAGTATATTACAGATTGATGTCTGGTTAACTTGAGGGGGATAAAATATTGTCAGGTTTGGTTTCTTGAGTCACTCATCCTGTCTTCAGGGGATATTTAAAGGTCAAACCTGCATATGTCCACTCCCAACCCATCACACACACACACACACATGTTTACATTCAAACAAACGAACAGAGCTGAAGAAAGTCAGGGGGCAGCACATTGCAGAGCAAATGCATGAGCACACACATTACACACAGCATGAACACAACCAGAGAAGAATGTAAAGGATGTACACACATATTTTCTCTTGTTTCCTTTGCTTAATCTTAACGGGTTTTTACTGGATGCAAACGAGGCCTTTACTGTCATAGTATCACTATCAATCAAAAGCGTCTTCTTTGGCGCTCCCATGGTAAATGGGTGGTCATGTGACAGAAATGCCCTTGGAGGCGGCTTTAGAGGGTTAGAGGCTGTCAGAGGCCGGATATATATAAAGGTTTTAACTATGTGTATAGGTGGCAATGCGGTGTAACTAGAGCTTATTATCCCTGTGCTATGAGGGGGAACACTACATACAACAACACTCAGGACACCCACAACGTCAGACTGAGCACAGATACCAGTGTGACTGGTAAGAAATGATTGTATTGTTTGGGCCATAATGAGTATTTAAGGGCAAACGACATCACTCACAATTATAGGTTGGAACGCTGTAATCTGTCATGCTGCGTGTGCTGTGTTAAGATTATTTAGCATGCAGTGATTTAACCTGAACATTCATACTGAATCACAAATCAAACCTGCTCATGTTATACAACCTTGCTCTCTCCTGATCCGTCAAACCACACAGAGCTTAAGACTGATAACCAGTAGGACGTACACATGAAGCCTATAGTCTTAATATGAATACCTGCATGAGGGTTAATCTATGGATAATTACTATTGTTAGTGAGTTCCCATTCTATGATGATTGTGGTTAATGCATTTTGTGTATTTTGCTCCAGCTGTGATCTGTGAGCATTTACACAGCATTAAGATGATTCATGTCCTGGAGCATATCCCACTGGTCTCATTGAATCTACCTGCACACACCTTATGTCAAACTGCTGACTATGTGGGGGTGCTCAACGGGGGATTGAGTACCCCCAGAGCTGGATACAAATTTACTCTGCACATACACAGAAGCTCCTGTTGGACACAACACATCCATCCACTGGTATGAAATGGCAGTGGAGGGATTCAATGGATGGATTATTCAAACATAACGAGTATATTGAGGTGAGGGTGCACATACACCGAGCAGAGGAATCCTGCTTGGGGTAATCTCATCCAATATGTATCTACACATGTAATCGTATGTATATATACATTCATATATATATATATATATATATATATATATATATGTACATATATACATGCATATGTACATGTACATGTACATATGTATAAATAGACCAACTCTGGGCTGGTTTGGGCTGCAGCATAACACCTGGAGAAGATGAATAACTTTATACATACTCAGCGTTTCGCTAAGAGCTTAGTCCGACATAGCGCCGTAGGCTTCATGACGTCATAGTTACGCACGGCTTCTGCGCTCCCTAATTGGACGGAAACGTACCGCCCTCCTCCGAGGAAACTTGAGTGGAGTTTCGGGCGGAGTCGTGAGGACTCGGTTATATTTAGGTGCCTTGTAGCGGAGAGCGGCGCGTTATTCCTCTGCGACGGTCAGCAGGACATCGACTAACGGAACACTTACCATAACCGGGCATAAACTACGATGTCTTCCACCAAAGACGATGGCGGCTGGAAGAGGTTCGTGTGGGACTCGGACAAAGGAGAGCTGCTCGGTCGAACCGGTGGCAGTTGGCGTAAGTACGGTCGCCAAGCGCGCACAAGTTTGCGAGGACGCGCGCCGGTAGCCTCGTGTCTCTCTCTACCTGTTTGACTTAAATGTGCTGCAGTCGGGACCACAGCGCTGCTGTAACTAATATGACTTCATGTGATCGTCTCTGCTGATGACCATGTCCCCACATGATCTGACCTCGTGAAATTCTACGGACTGATCATTAACCTGGGGACGGCTTGTTTGCCGGACCGTAAACAACAAGAGTGAGCAATAGACTGAATACGGTTAAATAGGATTTATAATATTTAGTGACTGATCAATGACCTGGCGGCGGTTAAATAGGATCAGGACATTTTATGTTTCACCAATAACCTGGTAGCCTGGTGCCGGTTGATTTCGGTGCGGACCGGTGCTGCTGTTCATGTGTTGTACTTTGAGTAGTTTGAGATGAGCGAAGGGTTAAAAATGCATCACGGGCCCAAGGTGAGTGAAGGTGATCGGCCCGCTCGCACGCGGACAAGAGCCAATCGATCCGTGTCGAGTTGCTGTGATCAGATGTCCCGGTAATCTACCCAACAATCCGACTAATTAACCCGCTCGACCTTGCGGCGAGCGCGGAGAGGTGGTAGTGCGCATGTCCTTGCGCCTCCTCTCAATGTCACGCAGCTCATCGGGACCAACACCTGGGGACAAACCCGGTGAACCGGCTGCTGCTGCAGCAGCTCCACCCGCACGGCTCCCGTTCGTCCTTCTCGGGTCATCTGAAGCGTGCTGATGCGTTTGCGAAATGTGCCGTGCGCAGTGCATTTCTGAGCGGTGCTCAGTCACAGATGGGTCCAAACCACACAGCGTATGCTGCATGGAATAATGAGGACCTGCTCGGGTCATGTGACGGGCCTTGTCTCTTTTTACATTGCTTCATGCAGCAAAAGGAGTAGATGAAGTGCGAGGTCCACAGTTCTGCACACTCTGTGTCAGTCCTACCTGGGCATTGATCACAATGAGCACGGCTCCGAACAACCTTGGACCTCAAGCAATACGGAGTTCCTGCTTACACAATGGTCGATTGTTCGATGGAGAATACTGCATGAAACACTGCTTCATGTCAAGCGGACGGAGGCAGACAGCGCTTTATAGTTCTAAACTTGAGCTTATTAAGAGCTATTTAAACATCAATGCTGTCCATTAAATGGCACAGAATGGGTTATTCTAACTCTTGAGCGTTAAGCTCCTTTGGGTCATCCCATCTGAGCACAAAGTACTGTATGTACCAGCACACATTCAGGCTGCTTTTCCTCAGTTCCTGCATTGTTGTGACCTTGCAGCAGCACCCATCTTCCCCACGGAGGTCATCCTCACAGGACCGAGCAGCAGGTAGCAGCTTTCATGCTAGGAATGGCTTTTAGCTTACAATAGTCTCAATGTATTCTTTAGGATCTGCGTCAACATGTCTTCTGTCCAAGTAGAAGCACATGTAACGGGACATCGCCCCATAGAGTCCGGCTTTGGTCCTTCTCAGTGCTCACTTGTATTGCGTGCTAAACGAGCGAACCTCTCGGAGACCCAGGACTAAAGAAACCCTGACGTAGTGGTCGCCTCGCCGTAGTTGCCTTCAGTGTAATATGTTTGTATGCATACACTCAACACATGTGGGATCTCCATGGAGGAGAGGTATGACCCTGATGAGCCCTGTGTTGTAGCCAGCTGTGACCACAGAGACAAAAGATTAATATTTAGCTCATAGCTTTCGAATGGAGGTGATTATGATAATGCTGTTACTGTTTGATAAAGCGGCTGATGTGTGATTTCTGCACACTACTAGTTCCTGACTATTATGACCTTCCCCCACCCCCCCTTACATTGTTCCCTTGGTTCTAAAGGCCCCGGGTTAGGAGAACATGCTGCTGCTTCACTTTGTCTCGCTCTGAACTCACACATTCTTTTTTTCCTCTCAACAGTCAAAATTATAGGCTTCTACATAATTTTCTATGGCTGCCTGGCAGGAGTCTTCGTCGGAACCATCCAAGCCTTGCTGCTCACCTTAAGCAACTACAAGCCCACCTGGCAGGACCGGGTCGCACCCCCCGGTAAGAAAAGTCAGCCACTTCTTGTCCGTGACGATGCTTGTCTATAAAGTAATTTAAAAGGCTCATATTTCCTGTATCGGGAGGATCTGGGGCCAATATTTCCCTTAACACAGCAGCTAAGGCACTGAGTCGGTCTGATTTCTGACCCCGTGGCGCTCCAGAGGGTTCCTTCTCTGTGACGAGACAGCTTCGTGAACACATGCATAGACTTCTGAACAAGAAGTTGACTGCTTCCAGTGTTGGAGGGTAGAGTTTCTCACAGTTAATAGAGCATTCAAATGGAATATGTGTACCGGGAAAAATTGCTTGAATATGACTTCCTCAAGCAGTGAAGTTGGGAGGAGAGAATCTGTATCTGTATGCAGGTCAACACGTCGGTCGGTTCATGTGATCTACCCCCCCGATTTCACTTACTGTTACTGTACTGTTCATTTATATTGCACACATTTCATGTAATTTAAGTTTTTCTTTTACAACCTGCTCAGTTTTGCACTTTTCCTCCTTACCTCATTTCTGCCTTATCCTTACCTCATTTTTACTTTTATTTCATGTACATTTATGTAAATAGTGTTTTTATTTTAATTTAAAAATTGGTCTGCTTTCTGGAAAGGCAAGCACAATAATTTCAATACACAGGGCGTGTGTAACTGACAATAAAAATCTTTGAATCTTTGAATCTCGGGAAACAAGGGCATGTTGTTTTGTAAATTAACTTGGTGTATTCCCTCAGCGAGTCTGTGTAAACCCCACAGACTGGTTTCCATGGAGGGGGAGGCCACATGGGATTTAAAAGGCCAGACTGAGCATGTGCACACTATAGCCCACAAAGCACAGCAGTAAGGAGGTAGGCAGTCCGCGACTGCAGCATTGAGCCCAGCTGAGGTCATCCGAACGCTGATGTGTCACCAGGCTCCTACTGTCGATGACCTGATCTCTGGTCAGCCCCTTCAGGTCCACTCGGCTGTGTGCATGCAGTTAACAGTTAGTCAATGCAGAGAAAGTGTAAAATGAACTCCTTGATGTGTGGCAACACCGGGCTAAAGCACAGAGTCACGTGGCCTCCATCTGTGTCATCTGAGTCCGGCCCAGCGCCACTGCAGTTCTGGAAACCGTATCCGATCAGTATCTTGGAAGCAGAGACATGGCAGGAGTATCCATTACCTCATATGAACCTGCAGAGGTGGCTCAATGTGTGTTTCGCGCACAGTCAGTGCTCCTGAATGTCTCCCATCACCGCTGTACTGTCAGATCGTTTAATTTTGTTTTCTTAGAGAAATAAGGGTTTGCAGTGTGACATATCCATGTTCTTTGATCAGGGATCCTCCGACTGTCTACGTGGAGATTTAACATTATGGATGGCAGTCAAAGGCTCAAGACGCATTAATGTGCACTGAGTAATGAATAATGTAGTGTCATTGTTGTCCTTGCAGGCCTTAGTCACACCCCACGATCAGACAAATCTGAAGTGTCCTTTAACCTCAATGACGTGGAGACCTACCTGCCTTACACCAAGGCCTTGAAGGACTTCATGGCTAAGTACAACGAGGACATACAGAAGGACCAGATGAAGTTCGAGGACTGTACAGGTAAGTTCATTCCCAATTCCCGCCAGCTAATCTGTGAGGCTCAGTTGTTATGACTGTACCATCATCATCGTCATCAAATGCAGATGTTCTAGAAGTCCTGTGCATCTCTTCTCTTACAAAGTACAGGAAGGACACAATAATGCTGCTCTTCTTTAAAGTCTCTCAGATTCTAAACAAATTCTCAACTTCCAAAAAACAGGATTTATTTTAAAGCCTTTTATACAACAAGCTTGTTGGTCTTGAAGTCTCTGATTATACCACTCCATTGTGGTGCCTTGATCTACCAGCCGACTGGAGCCGGTCCTTAAGGCAAATCATATCGTTAGGGGTGTTCGAAAAGCTTCCAGATTTGAGTGGCAGGACTGTCTAATGTTATTCTGACATAACCCGTGGCCCCCTCCCACTCCAGACAGCCCTGCAGATTACAAGAACCGGGGCGACTTGGAGAGCGACCAGGGCATCAGGAAGGCCTGTCGTTTCTACAGGAACCTGCTGGGACCCTGCTCCGGCCTTGACGACCCAGACTTTGGTTTCAAGGAGGGAAAGCCCTGCATAATAGTGAAGCTCAACAGGATTGTCAACTTCCGTCCAAAGGTAATGTTAAATTTACAATTTACATGTTATGCATGTTTAGTTTCCTCTTGTACTTGTAAAGTTGGTAAAGTGCTCTGATTGTATGTCCTGTCAATTGGACACCTCTGGATGGTGCTCCAATCTCCAGTCATCACCCATCAGTCAGATGAAGCTCACACTGTACATGGTAGTGCTCTCTTTAGAGATGTAAACAATTCTACTAGTTAACTGATGACACCGGTAACAGTCCAGCTGTAGATCACATGTTGCTTCCAGGTGGAAGTTACCTCTGAATGAAATACTTCATTTATTGTTTGCAAGAGTCAACCTGCTAACTTGTCTGTGTCGTTCAGCCTCCCACCTCTAATGAAAGCATTCCTGACGAGGCTCAACATAAGGTGCAGCCCAATGTCATCCCAATCTACTGCACCAACAAGGTACTTCCCTGTTCCCTTCCTCAGATCAGGTGTATGTTGGCACTTCCTGTGAGTTCGTCCTTTTCATTCCACACGCTGTGTCTCCTCCTTCCAGAGAGAGGAGGATGCTGGTAAAATCGGTGAGATCAAGTACCACGGTATCGGCGGAGGCTTCCCCCTGCAGTATTACCCGTACTACGGCAAGCTGCTGCACCCCCAGTACTTGCAGCCGCTGTTGGCTCTGCAGTTCACCAACCTCACCTTGAATACTGAACTGCGCATTGAGTGCAAAGTGTTCGGAGACAACATTGGGTACAGCGAAAAGGACCGCTATCAGGGACGCTTTGAAATCAAGCTATCTATTAACAGTTTATGACCGACATGAGGAACATAGCACTTCCCATGTCCCTCTTTGACCTTAACTAAATACAGATTTAATGGAGGAGATTATGAGTGGGGGGGCGGGCTGTAGCGCTTCAGTCAATCACAAATAGTCTTAAATAAATAAATAAGAAATGAAATAAAATACCTGATAGGCGACCGAAGTGTAATCTCGTCTGCTTTCATCCCTAGCTTCTACACTTCTATCTAGCGTTAGGATGTAACTTAGAGGAAAAGTAGCAACATGCCAACAATATATTTATTCAGCTCTAAATAAGACTTTTCCACAAGCCATGGGACATAGTTCATTGATGCCTGTAAAGATAAATCTCATCTCTAATGTGTTGCGAGCTGTGTTTGTCCCCTCTGCATATCGCTGCCTTCTTTGGTTTCACTATTAGTATTTTTGGAGTGTGCATTAGTCACAAAAACTGGTCCTTCCAAACCACGTTGTTCCTCATTTCCTTCTGTGTGTCGACATGAGCGCACACACACTCCCACTCAATGCACTCTTCTAATCTGTGTAAGGAAATGGCTGCACTCCAGGGAACTTCTTTCCTTTTTATTTGTCTTTTACATCTGATCACTTTTAACTTTGCCTTTTTTTTTTCTTAGTTTCTTTATGAAATCATATTAATGTGTGAAGGGTTTTATCACTTGGTTTCATGCCTTACTTTTGATTATTTTTACCTGTGACGTAGAGTTGTGTCAGGCCTCTTACACTCTTCATGCTGTCTGGCCCACGGTGCTGACTTGAGTTTTTAACATTTATTTGCTGGGTTTGTCACAGAATTGTGTTGTAATCTCTGAATGTTTCAACCATTAAACGTGAAGGAAAAATGTTATATTTATGCAATTGTACATGTTATTTCTTTGCAGAATATTGTAATGTATAAATGCAATACCAAAGTGACAAGTTGAAGAGCCTATCAGAAATAATGCAGTACTTGTTTTTAGAACCTCATGTTAAGTGCTAAAGTCATTGTGTCGCCTAGCAACCCCAGTGGTTAACTCTTGATTTGTGCTTCGGCCGTGTAGTTCGCTGTAGAATGAACAGGTAGCCGACACATTATTACACAATGACCTGACACAATGCATTTAAAAAAGACCAGAGTTCCGACAGAGCTCAGTGGCTTTAGGTGATTAACAATGTTGGCTTTAATATTCCTTAGGATTTCATGTTGATGTACAACACTCTGACTTTACTATCTGTCAACTCTACACCATTTCATCTGTGTCATTTAATCAAAGATCGAAACAAATAAAGTCATAATGGACCTTTGTTGTCTTTTTCAGTCATATCGGGAAATGTTCACTAATGTACCTTCCGAACACCAGCATCTGGTGATGTCTTTTCCCAGCATGCATTGGTTGTTGGATACAGGGTGCGTCTGCAGTGCATCACTGATCATGTCATTGTGCACCACATTTATTGTTTTATTTGAATATCTGAAGTAGATTGGACATGTAGCTACTATCTCAAAAGTTTTCTCAAGTCTTAAAAATGCAAAAAGCATTTCAACAGAATGCAATGCTCTGTGGTTTAGTTAAGAGTTACTGTAGTGCAACACTAGACCTGTGCGTGATAATGCACAATCTGCAAAACTCAACTTGCTGCTTAACTCTTGCTGAGAGTGATTTGTGTTGGAAAGGACTGTTTCAGTCAAAGCAAAGATCGACTTGAGAGAGAGAACGAGTCATCTGAGATCTAAACCTTCATACACAAATCTCAACACAATGGCACATAATTATACTGAGTCCATTAGCATCCAACTCAAATGAGTACTCAATAAAACAACTGAAGGACTCTCCTTTAATACAAAGACATTCCAATGATTGAAAGAACAATTCCCAGTTTGTTGGGTAATTTCCACCAGTTCTGTGAAAGAGAATGCTGCTTTCCGGGTGGATCATCATCAAATTAGGTCCAAAAAACAGTTTAGCCTCTGTTGTCCTCCACATCCATAATGGCACCCATTAGCCCTAATAGAACTAGTCTTTTCAAAGGTTAGGCCTACAGTGCTGAACAGTGCTTTGGTCCCAACAAAAACACATGTGGCACTCATGCCAATGGATTGGAGTCCAATTCTCTTAGTTTGATCTTCATTTTCATTGGCACACAAACAGGATCCATTGCTTCTGGGTATTTTTTTTACTAATCTAACAGCCACATAGAAACCTAGACTTACCTATGAAGATCATTTAATAGCAGAAGAAGACTTCTGTCTGGGCGATCTTATCAGGAAACACCGCATAAACTTCCATTGTTATGCAGACGATACTCAACTGTATCTGTCGATCAAGCCAGAAGAGACGGACCAGCTAGTTAGACTTCAAGAATGTCTTGGAGACATCAAAACTTGGATGACCGGCAACTTCCTGATGCTAAACTCAGAAAAAACAGTTATCTTGATAGGCCCAAAGCGCCTTCAAGCCAGCTGTCACGTGATACAGTTTTTATGGATGGAATTGCTGTGGTACCCAGCAGCACCGTCAGGAATCTGGGAGTTCTTCAACTCGCATATAAAGAAGACTTCAAGGACTGCCTTTTTTCATCTTTGTAACATCAAAAATCAGGAACTTCCTGTCTCAAAGTGATGCAGAAAAATTAGTTCATGTGTTTGTCACTTCCAGACTGGACTACTGTAATTATTTATTATCAGGCTGCTCTTGTAAATCTCTTAAGCCTCTCCAGTTGATTCAGAATGCTGCAGCACGTGTATTAACAAGAACTAAGAAAAGGGATCATATCACTCCTGTATTAACTTCTCTGCACTGGCTCCCTATTAAATCAAGAATAGATTTTAAGGTACTTCTCCTCACCTACAAGGCACTTGCTGGTGAGGCACCGTCTTATCGTAAAGAGCTTGTAACACCGTATTGCCCTACAAGGCAACTGCGCTCCATAGATGCTGGGTTACTTGTTGTTCCTATGGTTCTAAAAAGTAGGATGGGGGCCAGAGCCTTCAGTTATCAAGCTTCTCTTTTGTGGAACCAGGTTCCACTTTCAGTCCGGGGGGCAGATTCGGTCAGCTCTTTTAAAGCTTTAAACTTTCCTCTTTGATTCTGCCTATAGTTAGGGCTGGCTCAGGTTAGCCCGGACCAGCCATTAGTTAAGCTGCTATAGGCTTACACTGCCAGGGGACTTCTTAGGACACACCGAGCTCCTCTCTCACGCTCTCGTTCTACAATAATTCACGTTTTATTAATGCACATGACTAATTCAGCTTCTTTCCGGGAGTTTTTTGTGCTTTCTCCCCTAGCAGGTCTCCGTAGATCGTAGTTCCTTCTGGACCCTGGTCCTGACACCTACCGTGGCCATGCTGACACCTGCTGCTGCCATCATAATCATTATTTTAAATACTAATCACATTACTGTCATCATAAACCAACATTACCCTCTCCTAAAGTCTTTTTGCTCTCCCTCCCCACAGGCTTCTGTGGATGGTGGTTCTATCTGATGGTGGTTGCCCCTGCAGTGGTCCTGCTGTGCGCCTGGCTTACTACTCACAATTACTTGAATCATTTCTGTCATAGGAATTGCATGTATTATACATTGTTCATTCTGTACACATGGCATCCATTGTAGTCTGTCCATCCCAGGAGTGGGATCCCTCCTCTGACGTTCTCCCTAAGGTTTCTTCCCTTTTTTTCTCTCTGGGAAGGTTTTTTTCGTTTTTTGGGGAGTTTTTCCTGTGCCGATGTGTGGGTTTCGGGACAGAGGATGTCGTATGTGTACAGACTGCAAAGCCCTCTGAGGCAAATTAGTAATTTGCGATTTTCGGCTATACAAAATAAAATGAATTGAATTGAATTGAATTTTCTGTCAGTCTGACAAACTTTAGTCCCTTATCCTCTTTTTCTTTGGCCTCAGGAGGAGGAGCAGAGTGACATTTTGTGTTACCACTCACTCAGCTCCCAGTGTGCAGGCAGCAAGAGGCTGCTAGATCGGTTTCAGACACATGGCTCTGTAATTACAGGCGGCAACTATTTTGTAGACGCTAACAGAGGGACGTTGTCTCAGACCCACCAGAGAGCAAGTAGCCAGGAGCGATGAAGGGCAACAGGAACATAAAGCAGCGATGGTGTGTCTCTTATTTCATTTAATTTCTGTGTTTATTTTTGGATACTTCAGTAACTAAATAACTAATACTTAAATCAATGTCCACTTTTTGGGGTCTAAATCACAGACCACTCTCCTGATCTTAAGTTGTAATTAATTAAAATTAAAAGGGAGGCGACCTGGAGGCATTCTGGTCAGATGTCCCAACCCCCTAAGCTGCCCCCTTTAGCTGCCGCCATCAACCAGATACTTGAAGCAAGTTGACGTGTTCAGTTCAAAGTTCAGATGCAAGACTGAAGTTGAGCTATCAAACCAATGAAAAGCTACATCATACATAACCAGTAGGCAGAGGTGGAAAGAGTACTGGAAATTTGTACTCAAGTACAAGTAGTCACATTGCTTAAATTGTACTCAATTACGAGTAGAAGTACTGGTGGTAAAAGAAATGCTTAAAGTAAAAGTACAAAGTACTCTTCTCAAAATCTACTCTGAGCACAATTTTTTTTTAACCGATGGATGTTTTATTGCATCGTCAATAGCAGACATTCAATGTATAAATTTCAAATTCTAAGCACATTTCTCAGACGAACAATATAGAAAAATTACTATTAGTAAAAACATTTTTTACGGTGGCCGACACGTACAAACGGCAAAACAAATCCAAAAGTAAAACGCGGCAAGAGAAAAATGCGGCAATCACAAAAACGACCGGAGCACATGCAACGTAAACTTCAAAACACATGCAAGAGAGAAATGCTGCAAGTTCACTCAAAACACAATGGAAATTCGCCAGGCCACTAGGGGGTCTCAACTTGTGGGATAATGGACTGACTATGGGAGATCGACCATAGTAACGACGAAGAAGAAAGTTAATGTCCTTTATGTCTTTTTTCAACACTTGGCCGTAATCATAATTATCATTCTTTCTTTTCATAACTTTCTTCTTATTCCATTTCTTTCTCATATTCTCAGTCCACACTTTACACCGCTGTGTATTTTACCTCCAGAAACATTTTCCTGCTGCAGCAGCGAGTTGGCCTGGAATAATTGGCGCGGGTGCGATCTGACAGCCAATAAGGATTTGCATTGAAAAAAAAAATACGGTTTGAATATTAATTTAAATTGTGGGCATACTCAATAGTAGGGCTGCAACTAACGATTATTTTGATAATTGATTAATTGGTTGATTATTTCTTCGATTAATTGGATAAAAAAACAGCATTAAAAAGCTTTTTCAACCCTTTATTCTAAAACAGAACTGCAAATTGACATTGCAAAAATACTTCAGAAAGTACAGGTTGCTCCTTGAACATAATTCATAAAAAAATAAAGAAAATACAAATCAGAAAATGTAACTGGATTTGTTTCAACAAACTTGTTCTCTAAACTACGAACTCTCATTCACAAACAAATTGTAGTGCAAGTTAAGTAAATGTGGAGTAAATGGAGTTGCCAAAGTTGACAGTCAAGTCCTGTGTCAGAGAGTCTTTTCCTGGAAAGAAGTAGTTCAGTCTTGTCGGGGGTGATTTTCAGATGGTGGGCGGACATCCACTAAGAGATGTCAGTCGGACAGGCAGAGATCCGTGCCGCCACCTGGTTGTCCGAGGGAGGGAAGGAGAGAATTAGTTGGGTGTCATCGGCATAGCTGTGGTAGGAGAAGCCATGCGAGCGAATGACAGCGCCGAGAGAAGAGCGAGAAGAGAAAGGGACCCAGGACGGAACCCTGAGGAACTCCCGTAGTAAGAGGACAAGGTTTTGACACAGATCCTCGCCAGGCACCGGTAGGTGCAGCCGTCAAGGTAGGACGAGAGAAGGGAGAGAGCAGAGCCTGAGACACCGTTCCGGAAGGGAGGAAATAAGGATCTGGTGGTTGACTGTGTCAAATGCAACAGAGAGGTCCAGAAGGATGAGGACAGAGGAGAGAGAGGCGGGTCTAGCAGTGTGGAGTTGCTCTGAGACAGCAAGGAGAGCAGTCTCTGTGGAATGGCCTGCCTTGAAGCCTGACTGGTGGGTGTCAAGGAGGTTGTTATGGTGGTGATAGGAGGACAGTTGGTTAAAGATCGCACGTTTAAGAGTTTTGGACAAAAAGGGAAGAAGAGACCGGTCTTTAGTTTTTCTTCAGAAGGGTTGAGGGTAGGTATCTTCAGGAGAGGGAGAACTCATTTCAGGAGAACTCTTGCCTCCTTCAGAGAATTAGGAAAACAGCCAGATAACA